GACACCACAAATGGAAGATTCAATTCCCTGAAACTTTGGTTTATGTACAAGATTTTTTTGAGATACATTATTAAATTTGATCAGCCTGTGTTTACACGTTGTATATGAAGCATAAATGAATTTTGCGTTGTGATTTGGGCCCCATCTACAAGTTATCTCATTCTGCATATGCAAATACTACAAAATTTAATTTACTGATCTTCAGTGTTTCATATTAGGGATACTCAAAGTATAATTCAAATATGTTTTCTTGTCTATAGTTATCTTTTTTCAGCTGTTTTGTTTGCTTTTCCATTTAAGATTTGATGTGGAACAGGAATGTTCAAAAATTGATGAAGATTATAAAGAAAAGATTGTAATAGACAACAAGTCACATTTATCTAAAATTGGGACAAGAGTAGATACAGCAGGTAATGGAAAACAAGACTATTTTAATAGTTTTTAAGTTTTCTAGTGGTAATAACAGCTATAAACCTATAGAAGTTGTCTTTGAGTGTTGCATATTTCTATTTAAAATTTATGGATTCTCAGGGCTGGTGAGATAGCTCAGTGGACTAAGTGCCTGGTTAGGCAAGCTCAGGGACCAGGGTTCAATCCCTGGTAGCACATGCCTTACCAGCCCCACCCCCCAGGCACACTGAGCCGGCCACCAAGACCAAGTGTGGTGGCCCACACCTGTAATCCCAGCACTAGGGAGGCTGAAAACAAGAGGATCACTATGAGTCTGAGCTGCATAGTGAAACCACATACCAAATACATTTTTAAAAATTATGGATTTTCCCATGACGTTAGCCATGTCTAATAAGTTCATTTATATCTTGTAACTGCTTAACTTTATGTGAACAAGTTATAATAAGTGGATTTACTAAAGCTTGAAAATAAGTCTGCTTCTCTCACTGTGATTCATTTGTTTTTATGACTTTTCTTAATCATCCCATTCCTGTAAATTACTCACATGTTTTTCTTTCTGCTTCACAACAAAGATGATGAAGTCCATAGGGAACGACCAAGCTAGTCATAAAAAAGCTAAATTTAAAATAATTCTCAGTGAGGTTTTTAAAAATTCCTAGACTTAGGAAAGCTTTCTATTTTATGCTTTGTTTAATTTATGATTTTCTACTTGAGTTAAAGATAAGCACCCTTGGGTGCTCAGTGGGAGAGCACCTACGCACCATGCACAGGGCCTGAAGGCCCATCCCTAGCACTAAAAAACAATTTTTAAAAAAAATTGTTGGATTTAAGTCTTCTACGGCACTGTATTTTCACACATAACAGAGAATATTTTCTCCAGGTCTCACTGAGAAGGAGAAGGGCTTTCTTGCTACACGTGAAAAAGAGAAAGGAAATGAAGCTTTCAACTCAGGAGATTATGAGGAGGCTGTCATGTATTATACGAGGTAAGCTGATTTTTTCTGTGGTAGTTTAAACTTGCCATTTAAGACTGCTGTACAGGGTTTCAGGGTAAATCCTGAGGGGATTAGACTGACCTTGGCAGATACAGAAGTTACATTTCTTGTTATATAGGTCTTGCTTCATCTTGGTCTTAACCATCCAGCAGAGAAGTATAACCATGAGGTATAAAAAGTAAAGCCATATTAATATGCTGAGCTGCAAAAGGCTCAAGTCAGCAACTTCGGACATTGCCAGTTCTGCTGACAACCCATCATTATTATGGACTACTGGACTATATTGGATTATTTTGCTGAATTCACACACCTACAATATTTAAATAGCAATAGAACATGACAAAAAAAAGAGGGATATAAATGAAGGACCATTTTGTAATGAAAAAAATTATA